TCTCACACCGTGCAAGCCCTGATTCCTCAAAACGTCACCCTGACACGATTAGAAGAAGCCAGGCAGGCAGCGCCGCCACCGTTTATCAAGCTGGACCACTACAATGCTCTAATGGAGCTGCTGGGAGGACGGAGGTCGGAACCGTATGAGGTGCAAGGCACTGGTGTGGAAATTAAGGTGTATTCAAAGGTGACAAAGGCGTATCCGTGTGTTTTTCACCAGTTGGGGGATAAGACGACGAGTGGGGTGGTGTATGTGTGAAAAAATGAGGAATGAATGAACTAGCAATCAGGTGGGTACAAGTAGGAAAACCTAAAAGTGTTGTACCCCATATTGTCTACCCCACTACAGCCTACACAGACTATAGCATATGAGTTTAACACACCCCCATAGGCAAAGTGGGGGAGAACAAGAGGTCACAAGACCAGTCAAGTAAAGCAAAGCAAGCTCAGGGTGGATCACAACGTCACCACACATTCCGAGCACAAGTTCAAGGCCACAAGGCCAGTTCACATGCAAGATCATATATACAGGTAAACAAGCAAGTGCAGGTATAGAAAGATCATAGTACAAGCAAAGTCAAGAAGTGAGCAAGTGAGGCCAAGTAGGCACAAGACCTAGCATCGTATAGAAATGCTGATGATCACAAGGCGGAAGTGCCTTGGTAAAGATATCAGCAGTGTTGGCCTCAGAGGCCACGTAAGCAAGGCGCAGCTGACCACGCTGCTGCAGCTCACGAGCAAGGAAGTAGCGGAGAGCAATGTGCTTCGTTCTGTGCTCCAGTCTGTGCTCCCGACACAAGGCCAGCATGGCCTTGTTGTCTACGTACAGAAATGGAGGAGAACGAGGCGGCTCTCCTAGGTCACTCAGCAGGTAGGTGAGCCAGCGTAGCTCCTGTGCAGCCATGGCCCCCGCGTAGATCTCAGCCTCACAGCTGGAGCCAAGAACAGAAGACGAGCGGGTAGACCGCCACGAAACAAAGCCGGAACCAAGGCTGAAGGTGTAACCCTGTGATGACCGCTGCGTAGCCTGGTCGTCAGCCCAAGAAGCGTCTGCGTGACCTGTGAGGACCACTGAACGTCGCCCTCCAAGCACTAGCCCCATGCCTGACGTACTGCACAAGTAGCGCAACACCCTCTTCGCTGCAGCCATGTGCTCTGGTCGGTGTCTCCCAGGAGCAACATAGCGTGCCAAGATGCTAAGAGGGTATGCAAGGTCAGGTCGTGTGCAGGTCATCAGGTACATGAGGCAGCCAACAAGCTCTGGGTACGGGCCACTCGACTCTACGGACTCATCCGAAGGCAGAGCTGAGAGCGAGTGGCGAGTAGACAGAGGAGTGGCCTAAGGCGAGGAGTACGTAAAGTCGAAGCGCTGAAGGACCTGCTGCACCATGTGTGACTGAGTCAGGGTAATGGTGCGCTGTGCTCTGTCCAGGGTGATCTGCAAGCCAAGGTAGCTGTGCAGTTCACCCAGGTCTGTGCACGTGTGTCTCTTCTGCAGCTCGGACTTCACGTAGGCGAGTCCAGTAGTGTCAGCAGTGGCAAAGACCAAGTCGTCGACGTACATGAGGATGTAGAACGGCGACAAAGAGGTGTCGGTGCGCAGAAACAGCGACGGGTCGGCAGTAGAAGGAGCAAACCCAAGAGCCGCAAGTGTAGTCCTCAGTGTGTCGTGCCACTCACGGGGCGCCTGGCGGAGACCGTAGACTGGCCGCCGGAGGCTCCACTGGGTACTAGGGGGAACGACCCAGTGAAGCCAGGTGGGCGGCGCAGCCAGATCTCCTCGTGCAGAAAAGCTGTGCTGAAGTCAAGAGAATGAAGCTCGTAGTCGCGCTGAGCGGCTATGTGCAGCAGCACCCGAAGAGTGGTCATCTTCGGGGTGGGAGAGAAGGTCTGAAAGTAGTCAATTCCCTGCCGCTGACTGAAGCCACGAGCCACGTAACGCGCCTTGAAGACAGGCGGAGAACCCGGCGGCCGCTTCACCCTGAAAATCCACATGCCACTGACGATGTTCGCCCCAGGTGGGGGAACCTCGTCGACGTAGGTGCCTGTGGACTTCCAGGAAGCCATCTCTGCGTCCATGGCTGACTGCCACTGAGAGGAGTAGGGACCCTCGATCGCCTCAGCGTACGATCGAGGAGTCGGGATGTCTGGTGCATCCGGGTCTTCCTCAGGGGCAATCAGCGTGGACACGAGATGAGGCAAAGCAGCAGCAAAGCATTGGAACTCCTCCTGCCTGTCCTCAAGGACGTCCGTGCTAAGAGCACACTCACCCCCGACGGACGGAGGACAGACAGACTCAGACTCAGCAACAAGACTAGCAGCATAGTCTAGACGACAGCGAGCAGCAAAGTCGACAAGCTCAGCAACCAAGGCAGACGCAGCAGTGGACTCAAAGGAAGGGTCAGTGACAACAGTAGCCAAGAGACGCGTGACAGTAGGACTGGCAGCACGACGAGAGTCAGACTCCGGGTCAGCAAGGACAGGAAGAGAGGACTGTGGAGGAGACGCCAACGGGACACGTAGAGGAGCAGTGGAAGGATGCAGTGCCATCTGGCGTGTGCCTGGGACCGCAGGAGGACGCGGACGCGGAGCACGACTACTAGTGCGAGCAGCACAAACAGGCGACGAAGGGCGAGACGCAAGCTCACGACGCTCAGCAAGACCTCCAGTAGGACCAGTGTAGGGAGAAGGAGCAGGTAGGGGGGAGGCGGGCTGTAACTGTGACCGCGACTGGACAGGCTGTGGACACTCTAAGGGAGGAGCAGGACCAGTAGAGGGCGGGAGACCAAGAACCTGCTCAAGGAGCGGAACGAAGTACGGCCGCGGCCGCGCAGGGCTTCCAGAACCAGCAGGGACAGCACCAGTACCCCCAGCGGCAGCACCAGCGCCAGCAGCACCTCCAGTCCCAACACCCCCAGCAGCTCCAGCTCCAGCAGCTCCAACTCCAGCAGCACCAACTCCAGCAGGACCGTCAGCTCCAGCAGCCTCAGCTGTCAGAATGTTATGCTCTAGCCTTTAGTGGGGTGCTCTATAGCGAGTACAACCCTTCTAGGGTTTGCTATTTGTATCCTCACTCCTACTAGTGAACCTCCTCTTTTGCCTAAACTGTTTCTTGCCTAGCTAGGGCTTTCCTAGCTATGGCTCCTTCTTCTGCCTACTATTCTCACATGGTATTAGAGCACATATGCTCCTGGCCTGTGGGCCCTACTACTGCTTCCGCTGCTACTCGATCTGTCGCACGCCCCGCCAAGCCGTCGCGGTGCCCTAGGGAGCCGCGCGCGCGTCCCCTCTGCCCGTCCGTCGCGGCGCCCAGGGGAGCAGCGCGCGCCACGCCCCTTCCTTCGCCCCACCCGTCTGTTCTGGCGCCCTAGAGGCGCGCGCCTTCCCCCCCCTCTCTGTCCTCTGCGCTCCTGCCCCTATCCCACCCGTTTTAGGGTTTGGGGGTGAGGAGTGTGGGGGTGGTGGTTGTGGGGGTGTCAGTTGTGCGCGCCGTACCTTTCTCCTCCTCCTTCGTCTCCCACTGCTGCAGCTGTCGCTGAGGGGGGTGGATGAGTGGGAGACTGGGGTTTAGGGTTTAAGGGGGGTGCGGTGTGAGTGGAGCTAGGGGTGAAGCAGGAGGTGTGTGTCAGGGGGGGTGGGACTGTTTGGGGAGGTTGAACGGAGGTTGCCGTCGTGTCGCCAGAAGCACCTATAGTCCGGGGAGTTGCTCCGGTAGCCCAGTCGCAGCCACCTGTGCCAGTCGCCCGTGGGTCTGTTGCTCGTCTGCCGCTACTTTTAGCCGCGGGGCCAGTTACTCCAGTAGTCCGGAGCGTTGTTCCGGTAGCCGTTGTGCCAGTGTGCCTACTGTTGCCTGTGTGTCTGCAGCTTCAGTCGTCGCCTCCTATCTCCTCTCGTCTTACAGTCTCGCCTCTTCCTCCTCACTTGCCCTCTGCGATAGCCTCTAGCTTTGCTTACATTTGTGAACTTTAAACTGTTGCTTCTTTAACTTGTGCTCAGAATGTGTGGTGACATTGTGATCCACCCTGAGCTTATTCTGCTTTGCTTGCTCTGCTGATTACACCCCACTTTGGCTATGGGGGTGTGTCAGAATGTTATGCTCTAGCCTGTAGTGGGGTGCTCTATAGTGAGTACAACCCTTTTAGGGTTTGCTATTTGTATCCTCATTCCTGCTAGTGAACCTCCTCTTTTGCCTAAAGTGTTTCTTGCCTAGATAGGGCTTTCATAGATATGGCTCCTACTTCTGCCTACTATTCTCACATCAGCAACACCCTCAGGCCCAGCAACTCCAGTACCGCCAGTACGAGTACCTCCAGGACCAGTGGCTCCAGTAACTCCAGTGCCGACCCCAGGGTCAGCAGTAACAGTAGCACCTCCAGCTCCAGCAGCATGGCTCCAGCGCCGGGCAAACCACTCGCGCAGCTCCTGTGGAGAGGGTAGCTCCCGCCTCGACGAAGCACCCGAAGGGGCCCCAAACCCAGCACCGCCAGAGGCCACACGAGCAGACCCAGCACCCCCAGGCTCCGCACCCCCAGGCTCAGCACCCCTAGGCTCCGTAACCCTAGGCTCCGCACCCCCAGGCTCAGCACCCCCAGGCTCCGTACCCCCAGGCTCCGCACCCCCAGGCCCAGCACCCCCGGACTCAGCACCCCCAGGCTCAGCAACCCCAGACTCAGCACCCCTAGGCTCAGCACCCCTAGCAGTACCAGAGTCAACAGCTACCTCGACAAGCTCGACTGCATCTACCTGGGACACACCTGACGGGGCAGGACCCTGAGGGGAAAGGGGGTCTACCGGGGGGGGGACCTGGCGCAAGGAAGAGCGGCGGCGGGGGGAGGGGTGCAGTGCGGTAGGGGAAGAGACGGTAGTAAGTGTCAGAATATCATGTTTCTCTAATCTGCAGTGGGTTACTCTATAGTGAGTACAACCCTTTTAGGGTTTACTATATGTATCCCAATGTTTGCTAGTGAACCCTCTCTTATTCATTCCTCAATTATTCACATGCTATCAGAGCATCTACGCTCTTGGCCTGTGGGCCCACCTAACTGCTTCCGCTGCTACTCTGAGTTCGGCACGCCCCGTGGCGTGCCCCTCGCGCTACTCTTAGCGGCCCCGTTGCCGCCCTTCCAGGCCCCTCGCGGCCCCTTCGCGGCCCCGTTGCCGCCCTTCCAAGCCCCTCGCGGCCCCTTTGCGGCCCCATCGCCGCCCCTTTCGCGGCCCGTCGCCGCCCTTCCAGGCCCCTCGCGGCCCCTTCGCGGCCCCGTCGCCGCCCCTATCGGCCCCGTCGACGCCGCCAGTGGCCCCGTCGCCGACCCTAGCGGCCCCGTCGCCGCTCCTATCGGCCCCGTCGCCGCCGCCAGCGGCCCCGTCGCCGCCGCCAGCGGCCCCGTCGCCGCCGCCAGCGGCCCCGTCGCCGACCCTAGCGGCCCCGTCGTCGCTCCTATCGGCCCCGTCGCCACAGCCAGCGGCCCCGTCGTCGCCGCTAGCGGCCCCGTCGCCGACCCTATCGGCCTCGTCGCCGCCAGCGGCCCCGTCGACGACCCTAGCGGCCCCGTCGCCGCCCCTATCGGCCCCGTCGCCGCCACTTGCGGCCCCGTCGCCGCCCCTATCGGCCCCGTCGCCGCCTCCAGCGGCCCCGTCGCCGCCACTTGCGGCCCCGGCCCCGCCCCGGCCATGCTCCGTCGCCAGCCGCGGCGCACCGGGGGCACGTGCACCCCCCCCCCCCCCCCCCCTTTTCCCGTCGCCTGTCGAGGCGACCTGGGGGGGGGGGGGGGCGAGCGTCGCCCCTTCTGCCGCCTGCTTTGGCACCCTGGGAGGCCGCGCGTCGGCCCCCCCCCCCACCCCCTTCCCCCCCCCCGTAACCTCCCTACCCGCCATCCCGCCCCGCCCTCTGTTAGGGTTTGGGGGTGGCGAGTAGGGGGTGGCGGGTGTGTGGTCTCCCCTACTCCTCCTCCTCCTCTATCTCCCACTGCTGCAGCTGCCGCTTAGGGGGGTGGGTATGTGGGAGTTGACGGAGTGGTGCTAGGGGGTGGGGTGTGAGTGAACCTAGGGGTGCAGTAGGGGGTGTGTGAAATGGGGGCGGGATAGTTTGGGGAGGTTGAAGGGGGTGGCCGCCGTGAAGCCCGCAGCTCCAGTCGCCCATGAGACCGTTGCGCCAGTCGCCCGTGAGCCTGTTGCGCCAGTCGCCCGTGAGCCTGTTGCTCCAGTCGCCCGTGAGTCCGTTGCTCCTGCCGCTCAGAGTTAGCCGCGGAGCCAGTTACTCCAGTAGCCCGTGTGCCAGTTGCTCCAGTTGCCAGTGTGCCAGATGCTCCAGTTGCCCGTGTGCCAGTTGCTCCAGTTGCGCCATGTGCCAGCAGCTTCAGCTGCCGCCCACTACCTCCTCTCCTCTCATAGTCCCTCCTCCTCCAAACTTGCCCTCTGCGATAGCCTCTAGCTTTGCTTACATTTGTGAACTTTAAACTGTTGCTTCTAGTACTTGTGCTCAGAATGTGTGGTGACATTGTGATCCACCCTGAGCTTGTTCTACTTTGCTTGTTGTGCTGATTACACCCCACTTTGACTATGGGGGTGTGTCAGAATATTATGCTTCTCTAGTCTCCAGTGGGGTACTCTATAGTGAGTACAACCCTTTTAGAGTCCGCGACTTGTCTGCGGACAAGCTGTCCTCCCGTGCTGTTCCCTGCGTCTTCCTTGGCTTCCCCCCTGACGCGCCTGGGTGGCAGTTTTACCACCCCACCTCGCGCCGTGTTCTGTCCTCCCAGGACGTCACCTTTGACGAGTCGGTGTCTTACTACCGTCTCTTCCCCTACTGCTCTGCGCCCCTCCCCCCGCCGCCGCTCTTCCTTGCGCCAGGTCCTCCCCCGGTAGACCCCCTCCCCCCTCAGGGTCCCGCCCCGTCAGCTGTGTCCCAGGTAGACGCAGTCGAGCCTGTCGAGGTAGCTGTTGACTCTGATGCTGCTAGAGGTGCTGAGCCTGCGGGTGCCGCGTCTGGAGGTGCTGAGTCTGGGGGTGCTGAGACTGGGGGTGCTGAGTCTGGGGGTGCTAAGCCTGGGGTTGCTGGGTCTGGGGGTGCGGAGCCTGGGGGTGCGGAGCCTGGGGGCGCTGGGTCTGCTCGTGTGGCCGCCGGCGGTGCTTCGTCGAGGCGGGAGCCAGTCTCTCCACAGGAGCCGCGCGAGTGGTTTGCCCGCCGCTGGAGACGTGCTGCTGGAACTGGAGGTGCTAGTGTTGCTGCTGGTCCCGGAGGTGCTCGTACTGGCGGTCCTGGAGCTGCAGGGGGTGTTGGCGCTGGTGTTTCTACTGGTGCTGGTGCGTCTGGGGGTGCTGCTGAGGCTGCTGGAGCTGACGGTCCTACTGGAGCTGGTGCTGCTGGAGCTGGAGCTGCTGGAGCTGGAGCTGCTGGGGGTGTTGGCGCTGGCGGTGCTGCTGGCGCTAGTGCTTCTGAGGGTGCTGGAGTTGGCGCTGTTGGAGCTGAAGGTGCTGCTGGCGCTGGTGCTGCCGCTGGGGGTACTGGTGCAGTCCTTGCTGGTTCTCGAGGCGCTGCGCGGCCGAGGCCGTACTTCGTTCCGCTCCTGGAGCAGGTTCTTGGTCTCCCGCCCTCTACTGGTCCTGCTCCTCCCTTAGAGTGTCCACAACATGTCCAGTCGCAGTCACAGTTACAGCCCGCCTCCCCTCTACTTGCTCCTTCTCCCTACACTGGTCCTACTGGAGGTCTTGCTGAGCGTCGTGAGCCTGCGTCTCGTCCTGCGTCGCCTATTCGTGCTGCTTGCACTAGTGGTCGTACTGCGCGTCCGCGTCCTCCTGCGGTCCCCGGCACACACCAGATGGCGCTGCGTCCTTCCACTGCTCCTCTGCATGTCCCGTTGCCGTCTCCTCCAGAGTCCTCTCTTCCTACTCTTACTGACCCGGAGTCTGACTCTCTTCGTGCTGCTAGTCCTTCTGTCACGCGTCTCCTGGCTACTGTTGTCACTGACCCTTCCTTTGAGTCCACTGCTGCGTCTGCCCTAGATGCTGAGCTTGTTGACTTCGTTGCTCGCTGTCGTCTAGACTACGCTGCTAGTCTCGTTGCTGAGTCTGAGTCTGTCTGTCCTCCGTCTGTCGAGGGTGAGTGTGCTCTTAGCACGGACGTCCTTGAGGACAGGCAGGAGGAGTTCCAGTGCTTTGCTGCTGCTTTGCCTCATCTCGTGTCCACGCTGATTGCCCATGAGGGAGACCCGGATGCACCAGACATCCCGACGCCTCGATCGTACGCTGAGGCGATCGAGGGTCCCTACTCCTCACAGTGGCAGTCGGCCATGGATGCAAAGATGGCTTCCTGGAAGTCCACAGGCACCTACGTTGACGAGGTTCCCCCACCTGGGGCGAACATCGTCAGTGGCATGTGGATCTTCAGTGTGAAGCGGCCGCCGGGTTCTCCGCCTGTCTTCAAGGCGCGTTACGTGGCTCGAGGCCTCAGTCAGCGGCAGGGAGTTGACTACTTTCATACCTTCTCTCCCACCCCGAAGATGACCACTCTTCGGGTGCTGCTGCACATAGCCGCTCAGCGCGACTACGAGCTTCACTCTCTTGACTTCAGCACGGCTTTCCTGCAGGGTAGCCTGCACGAGGAGATCTGGCCGCGCCGCCCACCTGGCTTCACTGGGTCGTTTCCTCCTGGTACCCTGTGGAGCCTCCGGCGGCCAGTCTATGGTCTCCGCCAGGCGCCCCGTGAGTGGGACGACACACTGAGGACTACACTTGCGGCTCTTGGGTTTGCTACTTCTACAGCCGACCCGTCGCTGTTTCTGCGCACCGACACCTCTTTGCCGCCGTTCTACATCCTCGTGTACGTCGACGACTTGGTCTTTGCCAATGCTGACACTGCTGGACTCGCCCACGTGAAGTCCGAGATGCAGAAGAGACACACGTGCACAGACCTAGGTGAACTGCGCAGCTACCTTGGCTTGCAGATCACCCGGGACAGAGCACAGCGCACCATTACCCTGACTCAGTCACACATGGTGCAGCAGGTCCTTCAGCGCTTCGGCTTCACGTACTCCTCGCCTCAGGCCACTCCTCTGTCTACTCGCCACTCGCTCTCAGCTCTGCCTTCGGATGAGTCCGTAGAGCCGAGTCGCCCGTACCCAGAGCTTGTTGGCTGCCTCATGTACCTGATGACCTGCACACGACCTGACCTTGCATACCCTCTTAGCATCTTGGCACGCTATGTTGCTCCTAGGAGACACCGACCAGAGCACATGGCTGCAGCGAAGAGGGTGTTGCGCTACGTGTGCAGTACGTCGGGCATGGGGCTAGTGCTTGGAGGGCGACGTCGAGTGGTCCTCACAGGTCACGCAGACGCTTCTTGGGCTGACAACCAGCCGACACAGCGGTCGTCACAGGGTTACACCTTCAGCCTTGGCTCCGGCTCTATTTCGTGGCGGTCTACCCGTTCGTCTTCTGTTCTCACCTCCAGCATTGAGGCTGAGATGTACGCGGGGACCATGGCTGCACAGGAGCTACGCTGGCTCACCTACCTGCTGACTGACCTAGGAGAGCCGCCTCGTTCTCCTCCAGTTCTGTACGTAGACAACAAGGCCATGCTAGCCTTGTGTCGGGTGCACAGACTGGAGCACAGAACGAAGCATATTGCTCTTCGCTACTTCCTGGCTCGTGAGCTGCAGCAGCGTGGTCAGCTCCGCCTCACCTACGTGGCCTTTGAGCCAACACTGCTGATATCTTTACCAAGGACCTTCCGCCTTGTGATCATCAGCGCTTCTGTGCTATGCTAGGTCTTGTGCCTACTTGGCCTCACTTGCTCACTTCTTGACATTGTTTGTACTGTACTCTTTCTATACCTGCACTTGCTTGTTTACCTTTATATATACGATCTTGCATGTGAACTGGCCTTGTGGCCTTGCTCTTGTGCTCGGACTGTGTGGTGACGTTTTGATCCACCCTGAGCTTGCCTTGCTTTGCTTGACTGGTCTTGTGACCCCTTGTTCTCCCCCACTTTGACTATGGGTGTGTGTCAGAATATCATGTTTCTCTAGTCTGCAGTAGGGTACTCTATAATGAGTATAACCCTTTTAGGGTTTACTATATGTATCCCATGAGAAAGTTGAAACGAGAATGAATGAACTATGAATCAATTGGGTACAAGTACTAACCCTAATTGGGTTGTACCCCTTATGGGCTACCCCACTATAGCCTACACAATATGCATGAGCTATATGTTCCGACACACCCCCATAGGCAAAGTGGGGGAGAACAAGGGGTCACAAGACCAGTCAAGCAAAGCAAAGCAAAGCAAGCTCAGGGTGGATCACAAAGTCACCACACATTCCGAACACAAGTTCAAGGCCACAAGGCCAGTTCACATGCAGGAGTACATATATATAAAAAGGGCTAGACAAGCAAGAGCAGGTATATATATATGTAACAGTACAAGCAAGGTGAAAAGGTGAGCAAGTGAGGAAAGGTAGGCACAAGGCCCAGCTAAGTACAGAAGCGGTGATGGTCACAAGGCGCAAGCGCCTTGGTGAAGATATCAGCAGTGTTGGCCTCAAAGGCCACGTACGCAAGACGCAGCTGACCACGCTGCTGCAGCTCACGAGCAAGAAAGTAGCGGAGAGCAATGTGCTTCGTTCTGTGCTCCAGTCGCTGCTCCCGACACAAGGCCAGCATGGCCTTGTTGTCTACGTACAGCACTGGAGGAGAACGAGGCGGCTCTCCGAGGTCAGTCAGCATGTAGCTGAGCCAGCGAAGCTCCTGTGCAGCCATGGCTCCTGCGTAGATCTCAGCCTCACAACTGGAGCCGAGAATAGAAGACGAGCGAGTAGCCCGCCACGAAACAAAGCCGGAACCAAGGCTGAAGGTGTAACCCTGTGACGACCGCTGCGTAGCCTTGTCGTCAGCCCAAGAAGCGTCTGCGTGCCCAGTAAGGACCACTGGACTCAGCCCTCCCAGCACAAGCCCCATGCCCGACGTACTGCACAAGTAGCGCAACACCC